CCAGCACAAGTATGAAAGGGGTGATAACGACAGTGTGGAGTGTGAAGGGTTTTCATGAATGCCGCTCGAAAGAGCACACTACACTATATAAAATTAAGAACGGTAAAAATTTGGACACGAAAGGCATGATAGGACGATATAGGAAATGTGAATAGCTCAGGGCAAAGAGAAGATATCACAACTGTTTATCACACGTTTGGTCAAAGGATGGGCTTCACTTGTCTCTTTGACGAGTTGTAATATGGTGCTACGCATGGCGAGACTCACTGACGATGCCGACGAAACATCTGGGAATGTACCACGTTCACGGTCCTACTCTAGACGATGATGCATACAATGGACTCCGGACTAGGTGCGTTTCTTTAAGTCTTCCTACCAATATGACCGAGTTTCTAATTATGCAGACAATGGACTCAGGACAAGGTGCGTTTCTATCAGTCTTCCTACCAATATGACTGAGTTGCGAAAACAAGGTCAAACAACTTCTTGATGCATACAATGGACTCCGGACTAGGTGCGTTCCTCTAAGTCTTCCTACCAATATGACCAAGTTGCGACGTGGCGATACTGGCGATGCCGGCGAAACGTCTGGGAATGTACCACGTCCACGGTCCTACTCTGGAAACGATGCTGCATACAATGGACTCCGGACTAGGTGCGTTCCTCTAAGTCTTCCTACCAATATGACCAAGTTGCGAAAAAAGGTCAAACAACTTATATAAAACGAAATGAAACTACGACCACACAATCTTGGTCATCATGCCTTAAAGGAAAATATACTACTTTAAATTTCATTGAATAACATCAATATTGATAAATTGAGATAAAGCATGAACAAAAAGCTGACGAGTTGTCCTGCATCACTCATTCGTGATTAATTTTGCGCACTGCTAATTAAGCACATTTAGAGCATGCCTTTAAAGGATTTACTGTTTCATAATCCAGTTTATCCTATGCCGAATACGAATGTCTAAGACGACTAAGGAAAATTCTCGTATTCCACAAACGCTTAGAGTTTATAAGGTCAAACGATTCTGCACCCCAGAAAAATCTGTTTCTAAAAAATAAAAATTAATATTTCTAAATATTTCAAATCATGAGAAGTACCTTAAAGAAAGAATTTCCATGCTGAAGTTGAAAGTTATGGCTCAAAATGCTTTCACCCTCTTTGGATCCAAGAAG